TTGAACCTCATGAGGTTCACAGAGGCCCACCTCTCCAGCTTTTGTCTCCCTGTGGTTGATCTCTACTGTTGTCACTACTGAGCAAAAAAATACAGTCTGCTATTTGGACTGGTTTCATGTAACTGGAACAGAGATGCGTCTCTGTCATTCCTACAGAGTTCTTGTCTGGTGAAGAAATGAAAAGTTTATGCTGCTACTCTTGCATGTATTTTTAAATACCTTTTAAAGGGGAGAGAAATCCTACAAAAACAGTCTATTGCCATCATCACAAATAGTCTCTTGTACAATGAAATAGTTGCAAAGCTGGCCCTTGGCACTCTCTCCCCCCCGAGAAAGAAGCAGAGAAAGGATGAGGAGATGAGTCCTCTTGGGCAGGCACTGCTGAGACTTAGTCAAGTGTGGCTTTCAAACTTCCGTTATCTTTGCACCCTTCAGAACAGCGTAGGCTATGTCTAAAAGGTCTGCAAATGGACAAACCACAGTTCTGTGATTCTTTTTCCATTGCTTCTCTTACTTTGTAATCAGCTTGTATCTCTCCATCCATTGATCTTTTATGAAACAGTTCTTAAAGAAATAGTGTCTGCTCATGCTGAATGAGGAAAAATGCATAGAGTGTCTCTTAAAAATCACTGTAAGAGGAAGCGTCTTCTGAAGGTAGGGCAGAAGAGTTGTCTGATGCAAGGGGGAAAAAAAAGTGTTTCTGGTGGAAGCAACTAAGCTGTGGAGTGTTTGTTTATTTGTAGCTGCTATGGAATTCAGTGCAATTTTCTTGGTCATAGGATAATTTCAGTGTTCTACACCTGACTTTCTCTCACTTCCTTTTCCTTTACAAGGATTTTCAAGACCACTTATTGTCATTGCTGTAGCTGGGAAACGTTTGAGAAAATCCATAATAAGATCAATAGCCAGACACTTTGTTTTTTCTGTTTTGTAGGTAGTGACAATACAGTTCTGTCTCCAAGGAGAGTGTACACAGTGAATCTTCCTCCGGAGGGTTACGTTGCAGTTACTCCAGATGCTGTTAGTATTTCAGTTTCTGAAAACTCAGACAGTAGTGCTGACTCAACAGGTAAGTCTCTATGGTTGTTGCTTTGATGAATTTTTCTCAAGAGAAGCTTCTTAGCAAATCTTATCGAGTAGATCCAAATTGCAACAATTATTTAAACAGATGCTGCCAGTGGGTGTCACTGTTTTGCAACATAAGCAAAATGAGGATGTACATCCCTATGGGTTCATTTCCGTTGCTAGAGTCTGAAGACCAGATTCAACATTTGGTTACAGCCATACAGTTCCACTGATATTACTGAAGTTACATAAAGTGTAACTGCAGATAAAGTCTTCAGCTCCCCCCTGGCTCAAGTCCCACATGTATATTCATATTATGCCTGCTTACAGTCATATTATTATTAAGAATAAATGTTAGATAAATCTGTTTTTAATAAGTCTTACTCCTGATGTTCTGAGGAATTCAGCAAAGATTTAATGACCTTTCAAATTTACCCTTCCCAGTTAGAACAGACATTCACCTGATCGGAGTTGTTGGGGGGAGATACCAATCCTTTAGTGCTGAGACACTTTCTAATGAGAAACTGTGACCCAGGTAAATTCAGAACCAATATTTAGTGTTGTCAAAGGGTACAAGAGAAGCAACACAGGATCTGTAAAGAAGTGGGCTCTAAGTTGACCTCAGTTAAAAATGTGGTTTTCTGAATGGTGTTGCCAGAATTAAATTGATTCTTTCTGTCTTAGAAAGAAATCCTAAGCTTAGATAAGACAAACTCATTTAGGTTTTTTTAATTGCTGTGTTCCTGTTGATGTTGATGTATGGATGTTTGTCCAAAATTGTGTATCACTGTCACTTGCTGCTAGGGGCAGTCTACAGCAAAGAAAATATCCAGGTGAGCCTGCTGAAGTAAAACATTTGATAAGCAGTGTTTATTAAACTACTATATCTATTTTGGCCTGGAGACTGCCTAAATGTAAGGAAAACCTAAGATATGACCTGCAGATACAGAAAGGCAAATGCTTCTTGCCTTTGAAAACAGTACCCACAGGGGTGAATTTTCGGCTTGGAAATTGGGTCTGCACTCTATTCTGATCTCCATTCAGAATCAGAATACAAGTAGAACTATCAAAGTAGCCGAAGAGACTGAAGCAAAGCACAGCAGGACTGGTGGCACATCAAGAATGTTCTTTCTTGCTGTGAAATGGTTTAAAGACATTTTTTGGATTGGGGAAGAAGTAACTTTATCAGAGTAATGTAACAGTAGATCTTGATACTGTTGGGATTATGGATAGGAAGGTATTCTAATGCACAGCTTCCAGGTTGTGCTTTTCTGTTTGTTAGATAGGATTCATGTTCGGAATCCGGAGTCTGTTTCTAGACTGTTCTTAAATTTGTTTAGTTACACTGTTCTCTTTGGACAGTTCATTTGGTTTCTGTTTCCCAGCATGTCAGATTCAAGGTGCTTATTTTGATATTGAAGTACCCTTTCTCTCCGTCCATGCCATATAATCTCTGTTTATTCTTTGGTGTGATCTCCTTTCAGATATTAGAAGGACGCTCCCGTTCTTCTGTATTTTGCTAATAAGACTAAGTGAACTCTCATAATACTTTGTAGGTAAATAGACTTATAACATTCACTTTTATGTAGGGACTTAAGTGACTTCTAAATAAAATGTTAGAATGCAGGCCTCTGAACACTACTGCAACTGAGATATATCCTTATTAAGGTATCGGCCCAGAACTTTTGTGGCAAATTTACTCAGCTTCTGTTTAAAATCAGTATGTGGTGTGTGTTAGATGTTGATATATTGCATAGCAGTAAAGTAGAATAGAATTTAGGATTGCATTATATTGTCCCTTTTTAGGGTCATATAAATATTTGTCTGGTTTTACAATGCATAGATTATTGAACAGTGTCCTTACTTGCTCATTTTTTAGATTTAATCTTTTCCTCTAGTATTTCAAAACAAACACACCTCAACCATGATAGCAATAAGTAGTGTTCCGGTGTTGCTTAGTGACAGTATTGACTGTTTGGATGGTGATGTCTTTTAGCTGATCCCAATCTCAGTGTTCAGGATGAGTAGGTTTTGGACTTCAGCCACTTTTTTTAACAATTAACAAATGCATCTGGAGTTTTGGGAGACTTATTTTTGGATTGGTTTGTTACTTGACTTTACAGTTTACCACGGAATCAAGAAAAATTAAGTTTGAAGTGATCTTTGGAGGTTTTTAATCTATATTCTCTTTGCAAGGTAGATTTGACTATAAATGTCATTCTTGCCAGGTATTTGCCTGATTTGTTCTTAAAAACCTCCCCATAGGGAGATTTTTCTTACATGCCCTTTTCCATTTGCTCTAGTGTTGCACTACACTTTAATGCTAGACCTTTCTTGCTTCAGTTTAAGGCCCTTATTATTTGTTCTGTCTAAATATGGATTGCAGAATTAGAGATCTGTGCTAATCCTGCATGGCTGAGGGACATGGTTAACTTTACTCATGTGTATGTCTTCTGTAGTATTTAATTTAAGCACATATATAAAATCTGTTGCGGGACGAAGGCTGTTATTTCAGGCAGTGCTCATGAAATACAAAAGAAACAGTTTAGACAATCACACCATGGATTACTTAGTTTGCTCACCTAGATTTGACTGTATATCCCTTATTTAGATCTTTTTTGAAAGGATAAAGGAAAGCGCCAATGAGAGCCTTTGATACTGAAGAGAAAAAGAGTGAGCATGCATGTCTGTATGTATGAACATTCTATATGTATAAAATAAATCTGTTTTGTTTAGAAGTGCCTCAGGTAATCCCAGAGAACCAGCTCCGTAAGGCAGAATGCAGATCTAGTGGTTGCATTGTTTTACTCCTAATACTATCTATATAATATATTTTGAAGGGCAACAGGCTATGTTCTGCTGTGCTTCCAAAAAAATGGAGCATGTTGTAAATATGCTGGGTAACAAAAGGCTGCCATTTTAGCCTTTTCTAGCCTTTGGACCTAGAAGTAAGGGGAATAAATTCTGTGGAAATGCAAACAAATAGAAACCTGACTCAGACAATTTCGTTGGTTATCAAACCTGTCTCGTGAAAATCATCTGACTGTATTTTGGGATTAAAATTTTTCAGTTGTAACTTAGCAAATCACACTGATATATAACTGTGCCTTTTCAGTAAATTAAGAAAACCAAATCCATGTCTATCTGAATTAATATAACAAGATTATCAAGAGGAATATATATGCCATGGCTGATATTTCATTGCATTAAATTCATCTGTGGAAGAATGAAATATTCAGTCACTAGAATACGAATTTAGATATCAGCTGTTTTTGAGAAGTTATTTAAAAGTTGAAGTTACTTACAACTATAAACTAAAATAATTTCTTGTCAGCTCTAAAATGTTTGGGTTTGTCCATTATTATTATTTTTTAAACTAGTAGTTACATTATGGTTGATTCTGTCAGAATGAAATGAATCTTGTCCAGACTAGTTTCTGAACAACGGTGGGCAGGGGGGAGGGAGGGGATATGGGAAGCAATGCAGGTCTGTGTGAATATTTCAGTATGTCTTTCTTCATCTATTGCTGCATGTTGTTTTTAGCACTTCAAATAACCTTTCAAATACTTTTTCCTCTGTGTCAAATAAATTGTGACCAGTTATGCACGTAACATTATGCAGTCACCTTGTGATGCATGCATAGATGACTAATGGTATTGGGATTTAAAATTTTGTGAAGCATCTTGGCTTCCACATGTAATTCTGTTCTGCGTTTCCCAGAGGTGTGGGAAATAAAGCTGCTCTTTCAAGTTTGTTTTCTTCATGTAAGCAGGTGATTGATCAACCTGTAACAATGAGAAGAAAATCCAAGACTGCCTTGTGTTTCAGGAAAATAATGAAAAAATTATCCAACATTCTTAAAATAATAAATTGGACTTAGGTGTCTAATTTTTAAAAACTCCCTTGACTGTTCTGGAGGAATTGAGTCACTATGATGGTGTGATCATGTCAGCCTTCTGTTGACTGAACTGAGTAACAGGAATTAGACAGTCAAGGGAGGAAATATTGCAGAGAATTTACATTGGTTTTCAAATTATTTTCATGTTGACTTTGGTACATATTAATGCATTGCTAACTTTCTTTTAGCAATAGACTTCATACTTTTGACAAGGGCATTAAAAATGTGTAATGTTCAAGCTACAGATAAGTTATCATCCGTCAAATTCTGGTCATAAACTCAATATCCTCATAGCTTAAAGCTCTTAAATCAGAGATCAAAACTAATTTATTTTCATTATCTATTTAATGATAAATATTTCTTCAGTAGTTGTCACTTGAGAGATACACCATCATGTTTAAAAAGGTGTCCTTTATGAAAGGAGAATCCAGGAAACTTTAATTATGTGTTCCATAACTTAATAGGAAGCGGTAGCTTAGTTTTTATTTGTTTGGGGTTTTAGTTCCATGAGATGAACTTAAATTGTGGAGTTCTTGCTTCTTATTTTCAGACAGGTGAAATAATAGGAAATACTGTGTCTTGCATTAAAATACGAATGCTAAAAACGCAACCTTATTCCTTCTAAAAGATAAACTGATTTTATTTCTCCAGCAATGTTTCTTCTTGGTTACTGTAATTTAAGCTATGATAATAGAATGTAACATATTAAATTATTTTATTTGTGCACAAAACAGTGTGGTGGATTATAATTTCTCTCCAAAGCCCTTTAATATTAAATCCATACTTTTACGTAGAGTCCCAAAGTTGTATTTGGTGTTTCTTAGACTTAAGGTAGAGCATTCCTGACCCAGAGACTGTGGAAAATAAAAAGGCTGTGCATGTAGTTCAGGAATATGCAGTAGTTAAGGCCACCTGGAAGAAGAGAAAGAGAATTCAAAGAAAAGTGTTCTTAAGGATTTGGGGTTTTTTATTTCATAACCCATTCTTTTTGTTCTTGTCAAGTCTCGCTCATTTTTCCTTCGTATTTTTGAACTGCAGTGCAGTATTCATCTGATAAAACCTGTTGTTACTATCTTGATGATAACCTACCCAGTTTTGATGAAACC